TTGGAAGTAGCAAGAGTCTTGTAAATTTTTGAAAAAGTGAGATGGAAGTTGTGATGTAAGTTTTGAGTGTTTAAATTTCAGAAAAAAAAAAAAGTTCTCGTCTCTTTTGCAATTGTGTAATTTGAGAGATTAGAGGAGGGGGCAATTTTATTTAGTTTTGGAGATTTTGAAAAGGGATTTCAATGTAATGCAGAAATGAAAATGTCTATATAGTTGAAAATGTTTCTGTTGCGTTGTGTCAGGAATGTCGAACGATGTGAATATTCAAATTTAAAAAATTAAATTCTAGCGTAGGGGAATTAATGTAACTGGACGAACGGTTCTTAGATGTTCTTCACACTAAATTTCTTGTTGCCTCACCTTCTCTGCATGCCAAACGCCATCGAGTCGTTGTCGTGGACTGTCGGGTCGTGCCGCGTGGATTGTCGAGCCGCTGCTGTTGGTTGCCATGATGGGCCACGTGCCTGCTGCCGTCGGATGCTTTGCTACATGTGGTGTTTGTGGTGCTCGGCGCTACCGCTTATGGTGGCCTCGGGATATGCGTTGGAGATAAATATATTCGTCGGGATATGAACGGACAATCTTAGTGTCTTCTGTTGTATATTCGATCACTTTTTCTAATTTCTCGTGGTAGACGACTTGTCAAATCTCTGAATCTCTCACACAACTCACGATTTTTATCTCGTCTAATGCTCTCGTTTTTCCATCAGTTTCTTGAACAAGGATTTTGAGCCCTCACGTGAATTAATAATGAGTCTTGGAGGCTAAGGATTTGGTGTATATATAAGCTACAATAGTGATTCTAAGGAGGTGTTAATTATGGACTCCAAAATATGATTCCAACTGTGAGCCTGACCCACTCCATTCATACTTGAGTAATATTTCATTCCACTAAAAAAATATTAGTGAACTCTCCATATAGCCCTCGAGTTACAAATAATTCATCTTTCGGCTATTTGCTTGATTTATCTCTCTATTTTTAAGATGTCATGCCTGTTTATTAATTTAATTACTGATAATATAATTAATCATCTTGTTGAACTGAAATTAGTACTACTAAATTCTTAATTATTATGCTGGAAATTAAACCGCCTGCAGGGTTTGACATAATAATTCTTCTTGAGCTCATTTTGGGAATGTCATCAACCTGGTGGACCGGGACACAGTGACTGTAAACAATTTCAACAGCACATCATGTAGTCAGAATCATTTACCAATATACGGAGTCTATCGAACTAACATAATACGTCTTGCCCTTGGTAAATTAAATAAATAATAACTTAATACATATGCCAGGTTATTTTCTTACAGGTTAAGAAAAACAACATTTACTGTTGTCTAGATTGTTTACTTGGTTATTATAGAATAATCTTATCCTCCTATAGGTCCGTTCAATACATTCGAGATGACTAGTGTAATTTGTTAACCAAAGATCAACAAACTCAAAAATCACACTACAACATTTACAACCGACATTTAAAAAATATAAAAGTCTTTCTGTATTTCTAGAAACAGAAAAGACTTCTAGACATTTTTTATCTTATATAATATTATTTATTTTATATTTCTCTTTACGAACCACTTATTGTCTTACAGTCAAATTATTTAACAATTGACATTAACATTGGAGACAAAAAAAAATTATTCTCATTTTCTATACCTTTCATCTCAAAAGAAACCTTGAATTATTGGAGATGCGCTTACATACATCACACTCGTTTGGGACAACCGTCTCACTCACACTTATTGGATAATTAATTAAAACAAAATAAAACTAAAATAAAAGGAGGGGCCCGCGAGTACATATGCTCGACCCTTGACTCTATACACGTGTACCCTCGAAAGTCGAAAAAGGACCTCATCTCCATGCACACCAATTCCCAACATCAAACCACCGCCACCTTTCACTCATCTCACCGCTATATATCTACCTTCTCTATTACGAAACACACAACTTATATCAACAAAAATATAAAATACCCAGGAAAAAAAAAAGCATTAATAAATCGTAAAATTAAATCCTATAAAATGAAGAAGACGGTAATAGGCAACCAGAAAAAATCCACAACGGCCGTGAAGAAAACCGCAAGGCCAACCAATAAGAGGGAGAAATCTGCAGATCCGGCGGCAAGGAGGGCGAAGCGGGCGGCCAAAATGGCGGCGGAGGAGTTGAAGGCCGCCGCCGCTTGGGGATCCGCCGTGGCAGCGGCGGCGGAGGCAGTGGAGGCGGACGAGGAGTGGGCGGGGATGTGGAGTGGGGTGGACGATGAAATTGCGTGGGCCAATTGCTGGTGCCCCTTCTGGGAGATGGAGGCTTACGAGGATGCTTATAATGCTCTCTACGAGGACGTCCTCTTCGATTTTGATCTTTGGGGCTTCAAAAATTGTCAATATGCTCCAAATCTGTGAACAAAAAGAATAGAAAGTAGTAGAAATTAAAATGCTGACCATGGTCT